CTCATGGCCTGCTCCAGCAGAGACACAAAGAACTTTGGAGTGCTTCTTGAGGAGACCCATTTTGTACAGTTGGGTGAATAATTGAGTAAAGGAAGAGACCTGGGTGATCCAAGACTTGGAGGTCCAGAGGCGGGTATTCTTCTTGGGAAGAGGGAGGTAGTGACGTGGGGAAGAGTCACAGGTAGATTTGGGGAATCTAGCATGAGGCTTTAGGGTAGTGTTGTGTGGGATGCAGGTTTCTGGGGTTTGGAGGAAGAGGAAGAGGAGAGTAATTGTGGCTATGGTGACTGATACAAGTGACACTTTGTTTAGGAATCTCTGTATGTGCCGCTCCATTTGGGTTTTCTCTGTGATGAATTTTTTCACCCTGTTTGTGCGTGATAGAGGGCTTCTTTATTTTTGTTGTTTTGGCCTTTCCTATACCCTTCTGCGGGTTAATCACAAAATATTGTGCTTTTGTATTATCGGTGTCAGTGTGCAGCACACTTGTATTGAACTGAAGCCAATGTACGTGACTATCTTGTGTTTATTGCACTTTAATGTATTGGTAAACTGCGAGACAAGAAGCAATACATGGAGATATGGTTAGACAAAATGTACAGAACAAATGTATTTCTCAAAAGTCCAAAAAATGGCAACTATTAGAATATGCTGGTAACTAGGCTTGGGGGCGGAGTGTCCTGCACCACCCACAACCTCTGCCAAAAAAGAAAAAAAAAACCAGAAAAGCAAAGAAAAAGTAACAAGAAAATGCCCTCAGATCTCATAGCTTCGATTGACCATATGTGGTATGTTGCCAATGGCATTCATTAAAAGCCTTTATACACCAACCACCAACACCCACACACAGACACACACAGACATGCACACGGCCACAAATACACAACACACCCACGTAGACACTCACCAATGGCATATATAGATTATTAGTGAATAATCCACATAACCACTCAATAAATTAATTTGTCCATAGGGCAAAAAGGATATAAATACCCAAACAATGCAAATAAAGTGATATTCATGAAAGTAAAGTAACCAATCAAATGTCTTTAAAAATGGGTTCCAGAAGAGTCATGTGAAAGAGAAAGATGTTGGTGTACAAGAAAAAAGAAGGATTTGGGTCCATGTTGTCATATATGCTACTATTCATGTAACAGGGCATCTTCAGGTATAATAAAGTGCCACCTAAAAGCAAGATATAAATACCTTTAAACCAAAGCAAAAGAAAAAACATGAAGCCTTATTTTCGTCTAGCAGCCATAAAAACGGTCAAATTGAGAAGAATAAAGGAAGGTGGTTTGAGAGTGCAACAAATGAGCAGCCATGGGTCATGCCTGTGGCCTTTAGGATCAGAATGCTGAAAAGTGTGATATCCTACTCTTACCGTGCAGCCAAACTAAATTTGAAAGCAGTAGAACTGAACTTAAACAGCCTGCAAATTGTTAAGTCAAAAACCTCAAAACATATTAACTCTCGATACAACACAAAAGATAAAGAATCTAAAATGTTCTCCGGGGTCAGAACTGATACTTCTAACAATATACAGAGAGTGAAGCTATAAGTTTTAAGGAAAAACTATTCTACAGCCACTATTAGTATTATGCACAGTAAAAGGACAATATAATAATAATAA